ATTTTTTGAACTCTATCAGGGCTGGAAATTGAAGACTTGCCACTTCCAGCCCGGATATAGCAGTAATAGTCCAATTTTTTGGTCCGCTCTGATTCTTACAATGTTAGATCTTGGCAGAAAGAATCTGGTACTATCTGCAGCTGTACAAGAAGCCAATTAGTTTTCCAGTACATTTACTGATACATCGTATATATGTGTCTCATTTTTTTAAAAAAATAAAGCATTATCAGCAGTCATTTATTTCGATTAGTATTTTCTTTCATATTAGCTTTCTTTTTAGTTGCTTTTCATCCCAGAAAATACCAGTCATAATTAAGGATGCTATTTCAAACTATATCCTTCTTTTTAAAAAATTACATTTCTGTTAATGCATTCTTCGGCCTTCCTAGTGTTGCCTGAAATTTCAGGTCACTATTAAAATGCACCTTCACTGATACTACACTTTGATCCAAAATAAAGACCACAGATGAAATAAAACTTTTGGGCTACTGTCCGTCTTTGCTGTTGTTATCTCAACATTTTGACCATTGTGCTCTCCGGTCGTCATCAGGCGTATATATCAATTTGTGTATCCTTCAAGGAATTCCAAACTGAACCCTTTATTTAATCTATGGAGGTAGGCCATTCTTGTTCCATTGCTCAGGTCTAGGGATATATCGTGTTCTTACTTTTGGTATTGCTCAATTAGTGCTCGCTTTGTTTCCACTGAGTCCAAAAGCACACTGCTCAGACCAGGGATTGAACTCTAATTTACTATGTCACCAAATTCATAAACCAATACTTTAATCCACTAGGCTATTGTCCTGTGGGACAATTCCCTGTGGAGAACTTGGAGGCCTGGGCAGTGGAACGGGAACAGAGATTAAATAAAGCGTTCAGTTTGGAATTCACTGTAGGTTATCCGGTTCAGAATACACCTGATGAAGGCCAGAGGGATCAACGACTGAAACGTTATAATAACAACAAAGTTGTGGACAAGATTTTTAGTGTAAATAATGATAACTCTATATCCCACCAATTCAGACATAAATAAACCATTAACACTCTGCAGGCGACAATTGTCGCCATAGAATTCTCTCCCTTCGGTACTCTAGATGCATTTTGTCGCTTTGAGAAGGTTGCTATAAATAAAGACTTGCCAACTGTTATTTCTGGTATTTTAAGCTGGAAATCGCCTACTACTGCTTTGGGAGAAGATTAAACTTCCATTTTCCAACACTATTTTGAATTTTTTCGTTAGTTTTTTGTTAGCTTTGTAAACAAAAATGGCCGCGTCAATATCCAACAAAGCCTTTATTCAAGAGCTTTTCTGTGATTAAGACTCTGGTGATGATTTTGAAGGCTTTACTAAAGTGGTGAAGTGGTCGAAGATCCACGCTAGTCACGTGGAGGAAAACGATGATGACCACTAGCAGCTACTATCATCCATGCCTGACTAATTTTATGGAAGCTAATGGTGACCATTGACACACCTGATAGCCTTTCTGAAGGTGAATTATTTTGTCTATAAACGACGAAATAATATTCTCTGTAGGTTATACGAATCAGCATACACATGATGAAGGTCAGAGGACACAGCGACTGAAACGTTATAATAACAACAAATATGTGGACAAGATCTTTAGTGTAAATGCTCCTTTACAGATACTACACTTTGATCCAAAACAAATAGATGAAATAAAACCTGTTTAAACTATTGTCCTCATCCAACACGGATTCTCTCTCTCTCTCGCATGAAAACACACGATGTTCTGTGTCGTTGTTATATCCATCTTGCTAAACATGGACCTTGTATTAAAAAAACAAAAAACAAAAAAAAACGCTTGAACGTTTCCAACAATGCAAGCTCTGGCTGATCGTCAAAACCCAATAGCAGGACCGACAGAGCCACAACGAAGTTCTCACTCGCTTAGAAATGCCGGGCATTGAAGCCGCCATCCTCAAGCACAGCCTCAAGTAGTCAGGACATGTCACCTGAATGGTCCTTTCAAGACTCCTGCGGACAATTCTTTACAGCCAGCTCGTCAACCGCAAACAACATCACGGAGCAGCAAAACGCAGATTCAAAGACCAACTGAAGTCTTGCCTCCTTTAAACTGGAATCAACCTTAACCCCTGAGAAACAGAAGCCACCTACCATCCATACTGGCGAAGTTTGGAAGAGACGAAAAAGTCTGAGTAGGAAATAAAAAGTAGGCAACTCAGGACCCGTCAGCCCCGGCCATGATCCTCACCTACCCGATGCCTTACCATATAACCAAATGCCTAAGACTGTTCTATTCAAATCTTGGCCTCCTGAACCATGTCGAAATCAAGCACCGGGCCCAAGTGGTGCTGACGACGACGACCAATGTTTCCATCTTTGTGGTTATCACAACGTTTCGACCCTCATGCCCTCCGGCCTTCAACATGTTTATGCCGATTCGGGTAACTTACAGGAAATTTAAAACTGAGCCATTTATTTCGTTAACGAGGGTATAATTTTCTCGTTCCACTGCTCATGCTTAGGGATATCTCGTCTAGTTTTTATTTTAGTAAAATACCTTTTTGAGTATGAATTTATTTTATTTCTGTCATTTTCAATTTAATTCAATTAAAATGAAATTGAAATCTGGTATAATTAAATAATTATTTAAAAAAATAATAATTGAAATAAATTAATATTTCTATTTAAAAAAATACAAAAAATCACTGTGTTCATGATGGCTTAAATAATTATATACAATTTTCAGAAAATCTAATTTAACTGGCTATTTGTACTTGGATAATTCTGTCAATTTTGTTTGTAGTAATATGAAATGTCAGACAACAACAATTGTTACTACAAACGCTGCTGAAAATAAGATTTTATCTAACGTTGCTGAACCTAAACTTCTATGAAAAGGTTAATATTATATTTAAGTAAAGCAAAAATAAAGTAGACGTTATTTATAGAAGACAAGATTACGCTTAAGTTAAGGTTTCTTTAAATGTAAATGCCTTGACATTTTTCAGCTAATTTATGACTTAATTTTCACAAGGAACATATAAGTTCTTTCCAAGGAAACATGATAATTTAAATAAAAAACTATCAACAGAAACATTGCTTGTATATTAAAAATGTTGAAATTTAGACTAAATATAAACAAATGTTGATATAGGCTTTTAAAATGCTTTTAATTTTTTTTAAAATCATTTTTGTACAATAAAACCACAAATACTCACGGAGTTACTAAGTGTGATAAAATATAAGAAAAAGAAAATATCATTAACTAGAGAGAACACTGAAAGAATATGAATTACATTGCATTTAAATTTAAGATGAAATTTGACTGGATATCAAGAAACCGGGAGAGAGTTGCAAAAATGACAAGTGCAGGAGAAGAAACTGTCAGCATAGAACTTACGGTGGTATCTAATCATTTTAACTACAAAATGATGAGACCTACCCTCCAATCTAGTATTACGTTTAAATTCGTCGAGTCTAAGTACCAAATAGGAAAGCCTATCAAAACAATTTACCTTGAAAATATTTATAGAAAAAGGCACAGAATAGGTATGTTACATAGTGTGTGGGTGAAACAGAATTCGAGATGCCAGCTCAGATCACAAAACATTGCAGATTCTTTGTATATCAAGAATCATTAGATACATAGAAGCACCAGACCAGGTGTGACAATATTCAATGTAAGTATCTTAAATATTGCCCCCCTCTGTCTTTTTTTTACAATTACTTTCACGGTAACTACTCCGATGAACTGCTTTCGCTGATTCCCAGACTTCATGAATTTAAGCGTTCAACTAGGCTGGCATCTCGCTCTCACCCTTTCACTATCGAAACTGTTAAATGCAGCCGTCTCTTCTACTCCAATAGCTTTATGTCTCGCACCTCTCGCCTGTGGAACTCTCTCCTCTTTTCTTGTTTTCCTGATAGCTGTAATCTCCAACTATTCAAATGTAACGTCAATCGACGTCTCCAGATGCCTTGATCTATCCCCTATCCTTCTCTTCATCCTTTCCTCTATCACTTCTATTCGCCCTCGCTCCAACTCTCTGTAACCCCTTGCGTGCTAGTGGCTTCCCGCCTTGCTTGTGGCTAAATATTTAATTTTTTTTTTAAATATGCAAGTCGAAGATAATATTGTCGGAGTTACCTCCTCCTTCAGTTCGTAACCCTTTCACCAGAGGTCTCTTTCCGGCTATAAATAAATGACCCTTTCACCTCGACCTCTTTTTTTACTTTCAGGCCTGTGCACTGACACCTTGAGGTAATTTCTCTTATTCCTAGAGGATTCTAACTATCAACCCTCGAAATGTAGTCGCTAACAAGGGATAGCGTGCACACACGCACGCACACACAGGAATATTCACACACACGCACGCCATACAGATTATTCACACACTTTGTCCTTCGTACTGTTTCCTGTATTGTAACTTGTTTGAATATATATATTTGTTGTGTATACATATATTATCGGTCTTGTTTTGTTTGCTTTCTTTTCCTTCTTCTTTGGACTTAATCAAAGTCCAACCTTTTTATGTAGTTGGGCTCGGCAGGCAGGAGTATCTGAACCTTACAGGCGTTTCAGTCTACGTCTGACTTCTATCAACAACATAACTGCCATGGCCCTCTACAATATAATGGCATAATCAAGTTGCTGACTTTTTATATTACCTTAAACAAAAGATCAGGAAGAAAATCCCCATTAGTGCTGGAAAGAACGATAACGTTTAGTTGACTGGAGAAACACATTTAACTAAAAGCTTGTTTTAAAAGAAAGACTGAATAATTCTCAACCTAGAGCAATAGTTCCTTTGGGGTCAATGAGTGCCGAATGGTTCCGTATAAGTAAACAGCTCTTCACACCATTGGCGTTACCATTTACTTAGGTTTTACTTACATGGAATTCGAATCGATATAACAATGAGAACAAGACATCGTTATATATGAATCAACATCTAAAATTTCTAAAAAAAAAGTACTTCTTTTCATAGTATAAAGGAAAAATAATAATATATATTTATACTGATTTAAATAGACATAAGCAGATTGAGATAGATAGATAGATAGATAGATAGATAGATAGATAGATAGATAGATAGATAGATAGGAACAGAATGAGATACATAGAAAGATTTGAACAGAATGAGATAGATAGATAGATAGATAGATAGATAGATAGATAGATGTGTGAATAGACTGAGATAGATAGATAGATAGATAGATGAATAGATAGATGATATGAACTGATCTGAGATAGATAGATGAATAGATAGATAGATAGATAGACTGAGATATATATGAACTGAGATAGATATGAACAGACAGATAGATATGAACTGAGAGATAGATAGATAGATAGATATGAACTGACTGAGATAGATAGATAGATAGATAGATAGATAGATAGATAGATAGATGTGAATAGACTGAGATATATATGAACTGAGATAGATATGAACAGACTTAGATAGATATGAACTGAGAGATAGATAGATAGATAGATAGATAGATAGATAGATAGATATGAACTGACTGAGATAGATAGATAGATAGATAGATAGATAGATAGACTGAGTTATATATGAACTGAGATAGATATGAACAGACAGATAGATACGAACTGAGAGATAGATAGATAGATAGATATGAACTGACTGAGATAGATAGATAGATAGATAGATAGATAGATGTGAATAGACTGAGATATATATGAACTGAGATAGATATGAACAGACTTAGATAGATATGAACTGAGAGATAGATAGATAGATAGATAGATAGATAGATAGATAGATAGATAGGCGTCCATGGGCCCTAAGATGACTCTTAAGACCAACATTTGATATAAGGCATGTATGGCAGATAAACTCTATATCATTGATTGGGTTGATTGAATACGACTCTCCTGTGTACCACAATGCGCCTTTTCAATCCAGATGATGACCTGCAAACCTTGCTGTAAACCACACAGATATTTTTGTAAGTAAGATCTAGCAGTTTAGCATAGTTGACTTGCTTCTGAATGTTATAATGACCTTTCAGATGGTTTGTGTAACCTTGCTTCGTCAACAGCATGCGCTCACGCACACCACATTTCAAAGACAGCTTATTGGTTGGTAAATCAGAGTGAGTGCCTCTTCGTAGATCACGCTTGATCTGAGGGTACCTGGGACATTCGTCCTCGGAGGCATTGCATCCCTACCTTATAAAGTGCTTCCAATCTATACGATTTAAAGTTAGTTCTTCCCAGTGCTGCCCCTCCATGTGTATTACATTCAGATCATCCTTCAGATTATTTTTAAGCCGATTCAGTCCCCGTAGAGAAGTTGTTTGGGAACTTGATATTCCCTATTCTTAAAAATGTCCATCCCATCGAATCTGGTTGAGGATTATTATTGTTCACATATATATATATATATATATATATATATATATATATATATATATATATATATATATAAAGACATTTTTATGTTTGTGCATTCTTTTTATAGATACAAATATTTAAGTAAATGTTCTGTTTTATAATAAACAGTACTAACCAACATTTACCGACTTGAATGTCCGAGAAAGCGTATCCAAATGTAAACAAATGACGTCACACAAATGGACAAAGTCCAACAATGATTTTAAGACATTTTTACGTTTATACATTCTGTTTATAGACTTAAAAATGTCTTAAAATAATTTTAAGACATTTTTATAATTATACATTATACATTCCTTTTATAAATTGTCATTTCTTTACATTTGGATACGCTTTGAACAGATATGAATGTACGTGAGAGATTCATGGAAGATTGAAGTTTAAAAGCAGTAAAATCGACCTTGCTAATCGAACGATTCTCCGTGGCTCGATCGGTTGAGGCACGTCAGGTTAAATGACGGTTCCGTATAGTGTACAGGTTCGATTCCTCTCGAAAAACTAATATTTTCTATGAAAATTTCTCGGACATATCTGGCCGGTAAATGTTGTTAATACTGTTTATTATAAGACAGAGCATTTACTTAAATATTTGTATCTATAAAAAGAATATATAAACATAAAAATATCTTAAAATAATTATCGGACTTTGTGCATTTCACAAGGTAAATATATATATTTATTTTAAAAAAATAAAAATAAAAAATTTATAACATAAATATGTTATAAAATCAATAAAATATAGACATTTTGTTTTCAACATTTCCCAGTGTCTATCAAGTGATGATGTTGAATGTAAAATAAAATGGTTTCAACATCATCACATGATAAGACACCGGGGTATTAAAACAAAATAACTATTTTTGTAGTGATTTAAATAAATAATTATATCTGCTCTACTTTTTAAGAATAGTAATTGTTGGTTATTGGAATTATTCCGTATACACCAATTATATACTTCATATATATATATATATGATATATATATATATATATATATATATATATATATATATATATATATATATATATATATATATGATGTACGTTTCCTATTTGTTCCTTCCTTCGTCAACAGCATGCGCTCACACACACCACATTTCAAAGACAGCTTATTGGTTGGCAAATCAGAATGAATGCCTCTTCGTAGATCACGCTTGATCTGAGGATACCTGCGACGAATGTCCCAAGTATCCTCAGATCATATTTATCTTACCATATATATATATATATATATATATATATATGAAGCGGGAGACAAAGCAGATAGATAGATACCCAACTTAAACATTTCAGGTTTACTGGCACTTGCACGTCACAAGATGAACTATTGTTCCTTATATCAACCCTATGTTTACCTACAAATATTTATGTATCCCATATTGTATACTGTTATTCCACATATAAAGTAGATTTTAAACTTTCACTTTCCTCTTCGATCTCGATATATATATATATATATATATATATATATATATATATATATATATATATTATGAAATGGAGTATGTCCGGCAATTATTTTAATATATTTTCTGTTTTTATAGATAAAATTCCATTTTTGTAGGAAAAAACACTATTTATAATAAAGTTGATTAACTACATTTACCGAAAGGAATATACGAGGAATTTCGCAGAGAATGTGTTCTCTGACAGGAATCGAACCTGTATCCGAAACGAATCAGTTTTAAACCCCGACGTGCTATACCATTTAGCTACAGAAGTAGACAAATTACTGTTTTTAAACAACAAATTTCCACTGAGATTTCTCGCATGCTCATATCTGCCTGGGGCGTACATTAAAGTATAAAGAGAAAATATATTAAAATAATCGGCGGACTTAGTACATTTCATTATATGGTGTCATTTGTCTACGTTTCGGATATTCCGACCGGTAAATGTACTTAATACCGTTTATTATAAACAGTGCATTTACTTAAATATTCGCAACTATAAAAATAAAAGTATAAACAGAATATATATATATATATATATATATATATATATATATATATGGTGGTATTCGCTTGGAAAAACCTTGTGTATTTCGGCTTGAAGTAGAACAAACCAGTACCTAAAGAAACACGAGGAATAAAAAAAAGAAAGAACTAAGAACATGAAAATTGAGGCGAAAACAATCTTCCAGAATTCAAGCTCAGAGTCCAAAGAAAAAAAACCCTACAGCCGGCTTTACCTTGACGATCCGTTTAGGTGAAACCTAGGTGTCTGTTTATATATATATATATATATATATATATATATGTGTGTGTGTGTGTGTGTATGTGTGTATGTATATATATATATATATATATATATATATATATATATATATATATATCAGGTTCGAATCTCACCATGGTCGTTTTATCAGGAATGTGAGTTCTTGATTTAGTCGGTCTGGAGGAGGTGATCCCACACCACGGCTTGATCTAAGCCTTGTGAGTATAACTGACCAGACGTCCCCCCACCCCGAGTACGAAGTCACAAGTCATCGTGACAGAGGATTTGAGCGTGCTGGCCTTTTTTGGCAGATTTTTGATAACACGCTTCTCTCTCATAAACTGTAACTAAGGTCTGCTCAGCATAGTTGCGGTATAAACCACACGTGGCCTCTGTGGCTGTTCAACAAACAAAAAAATTGCGCCTGAGCAAGCGTCTACAACGGGAGCTTTAAGTTTACGGGAGACAGAAGTTAGAAAAATGTATCCGACTTGGGCTCATAAAAAAGGCCAAACGTTATTGTTTTAATTTTCACATGTACACCTTAATATTGGATGCAGGCCTATTCCAAGATCCATTTTCTTACTGCCAAACGGTTGCCCCCTGTGCCTTTTCTATAAATGCTTTCAAAGTATTTGATCGGGTGAGCTTTACGCTATGGTAACTAAACTTTTATAATTTCAGCGCAGTACAAGACTGGCGTCAAGATCTCATCAAGTATAGCTGGTAAGCTGTAGTAGTCGTAAGTTGTATGCTAAGTCTATTTTCACGCACTTCCGGCTACATGCTCTCCAACCAACTTTAAACAGCAATAATTCAAATGCAAATCGCTAACTACTGTCTTTTATTCTGCTTTCTAATTATTCCTCACCCAGTAATCCCACGTGTCTTAGTGACTTTAATGCCTTGCTTAGGGTGATTTCGTTTTTTAAAAATGCTTATAAGCATGTAAACATCTAAAAACGGAAGATTATAAAGGGGTTTGTTAAAAACGTTAAAAGCAAAAAAAAAAAAAAAAGTACGTACTTATCAGATCAAGTATAATCATGTGTTCTAATAAATCTCCCTTAGACGTTTGGTTAACTCGGTTTAACTCTGGACACTCTGTCCATATTATCCATCATTTTTCCATCAGTAACCGTCCTGTTATCATCAGTTCTCGATTAGGTATTCATGCTGATGAAACAACTATTTACTCAAGTCTTAATAAAATGCTTAATAAGTTTCCATAAAGTCAAATTGGCAGCTAATGGCCGACAATCTGTTGTTAACTGGGGCAAGAAGTAACTAGCTAATATTTTAACAAATCTAAAACCTAAAAAAAAAAATTCTCATTAATCATGTTACGGAACCTTTTGTATTTTCCATCAACATGGACGATGAGGACATTACGGGTAATAGTGAGCTTGTTTTACTCGATCATTTACGATTGAACAGTGAATTATATACGCACTGGTAGCCCCATTTTGCGGCCTTTGTGCAGGGCCGATGCTATCAATTACCCGTGCCTCCCCTACAGATATATATATATATATATATATATATATATATATATATATATATATATATATATATATATATAATATTAATGCATGATTCATTAAATAATATAGACAAATTTTGTCTATTTATTTTAAGTAAGTTCCTTTCATACTGGTAAGCATAATAACATTTATATATATATATATATATATATATATATATATATATATATATATATATATATATATATATATATATAAATAAAAAAAGTGAACATTAAAGTCAACACTCAGAGGCGACAGGCTGTTTCATGCTAGACGCAATCGTCATGCCACGTGAGTTCTGACGATTGTACACACGTGAGCTGGCGATTGCATCTAGCACGAAACAGATTGTCGCCTCTTAGTGTTGACTTGAATGTTCACTTTTATATATATATATAATATACACACGCTCTATCTCCTATATTGAGCAATTTATCCCATAACTATAGCGTACCTTAAAACTATATTTCTTCAAATATATATATATATATATATATATATATATATTATGAAATGGACAAAGTCCGACAATTATTTTAAGATATTTTCATGTTTATACATTCTTTTTATAGATACAAATATTTAAGTAAATGCTCTGTTTATAATAAACAGTATTAAACAACATTTACCGACCTGAAT